GCACACACACACACACACACACACACACATACACACACACACACACACACCGCGCGCGCGCACATACACGAGCACACGGAAATGCAAAACATAATATCCCAAACACCAGAGCAATATTCAGACACAGAAACACGATGAACAAAGAAAACGTTTTTGGCTGTTATTGAGTTACCAAGATCATGAGCTTAGAAACTAGCTTATGTTCTGTCTGCTCTATCAAAATGGAAAGATTATTCGGAGTCGTTATCGAGATATGTAATATCAAAGAATCGCATTCGAAACAGCTTCACAAGAAGTGAAAATCAAAATCTTTGACGTCAGATTTCTCAAAACTAGAGAGGTACTGAGCAGATAGATCTAATATTTTAAAACAGATCTATAACAATAGAACTTTGTTCTGCTGTAGTAGCGAAATGTGCCACTTTTTCAGAAAGTTGTCGATACTGCTCCGTCCTGATCATCTCTTCTTAGTCATTCAAAAGAGAAACCCGTTTCATTTTCGGTTTCTGTTTCGCTTGCTGCTTGGTTCACTCTGTGTTCACATTGCTGATACCAGGTCGTTGTTGTGTTTTATAGGTTAAAAATAGCACAATGCGAATTGATACACTTCCGAGAAGATCCTCTGTTCCAAGTAGGTCTTGGCTGTGTCTCCGAAAGCTAGCCTACGTCATGTTGCTATTAATATATCAAAATGTGTATGTTTCGCGCTGCTATACCGTCGGTCTCTGCTGCTGCTGCTATAATAATTGTGTGTGTTCGGGTCATTTAAAAGCTCCGAACTTGATGTGAGAGCTGCAGTAGCAACTCGCTGCACCTTCTGTTCACAAGCATTTAGATCTACACCAAGTTCATTCAGACACGTAGAGGTAAGAGAAATTCAGTTGTTGTATTCTTGTTACGTTATAATTTTGTATTCTTCCAAGGGATGTTTTTACTTTTATTCATTTATATCTGGTACGTTTTGTCATTGGTTAATTATCTTAACTCTAGATAATTCGCCCATTGGTGCAAAATAAAAAATAAAAATTTTTGGACGGGGGTCGTTAGTGGTAGCCTAGTGGTCATGGAGGGTTGGGTTTGTTTTCTTTTGTTGGTTTGTTGGTTTATTCTTTTAAAAATTGTATTTTATTGTGAAACGCCAATAGAGCCGCCAGACAGTGGCACTATTAGATCTAGAGATCTTTGTTATTACATGTATTACTTTTTTTTTGTTGATCCTTGCCCATTTCTATGATATTGACGCCATCTGATTAGTAGAAAAAAGTACGTATGAGAGAGCCCAATAGTGTACAACGTACATAATTGTTATAACATATATAACTGTTACATTTATCGAAAAAAAAACTAAATTGAGGACATTTGTGTTGATATTTGTTGTTATTTTGTCGTTGTCTGTTGTTATTTATTGTTGTTACCAGTTGTTAATAGTTGTTATCAGTTGTTATTTGGGGGGAACTGGGGATTCGGTCTGAAGCATCCATACAGTGTAGTATGCGCCGACAAAGAAACATGGCTGTGCTCCCAATAGGGCCAATACCCTTGTACATTTATTTCCATTGTGACTGAATTCAGAATAAGTGACGACCCTTCCACCCC